CCATAATATCATAACTTCAATAACAATTTGCTAAATAAATTTAAATTTAATAAAAGTAATTGCTAATTTAAAATCAGTTTTAAAATAATGAAAAATAAACAAAACAAAGCGGGTTCAGTATGGATTGGCCTTCACCCTACCCACGCCCCTCTTTTTTCCACGCCATTGGGCTCRTAGCTAAGGGTGGCAACGAGTCGAGCTTTTCACGAGCTGCTCGAGCTTGGCTCGTAAAAAGCTTGGCTCCGCTCGGTTTCAACCGAGCTCGAGCTCAATTTATTGGCTCGATTGTTAAACGAGTCGAGCTTGAGCCTACTAGAGCTCGGCTCATGAGCCTTACGAGTCGGCTCGAATATATATATATATATATATATAGAAAGTAATATATAATAAAAATATTATAATTATTAATTATTATAATTCCTAATTTTTTAAATATCAAATAAAAAATATTTTTATATATAATTTTTTATTTTTTATAAAATATTTTTTCTCAAAATCGAGTTCGAGCCTTGTAGAACAGTCTCGAGCTGAGCTCGAGCCTGGTAGTATTCGGCTAGGCTCGGCTCGAATCCACCCCTACTCGTAGCCTTTGGACATGTCACTTGCCTCCCATTTCACCATCGTAACAAAGGCAAAAACTTCCAAAAAATTAAATTTAAGGGAAATGGAAACTTCCCAAAAGAGTTTCCTTCTTCCATCTCTTTCCTTCCCAAATTTAATTTCTTGCCATCGTTTCCTATTTCATCCTTCATGTTCTTTCCATTCTTATTATTATGGGTAAATTACAAATAGGTGCCCTGTACTTTGGGGTAGTGATAGATAGGTACCTTGAAGTTTCAATTACAACATTTGAGTACCCTAAACTCTCAAATATAGACACTTAGGTCCATCCGTTAATATTCCATTAGTTAAAAATTACATAATACCAAAAATACCCTTCTCATTGTATTTCTAAGATCATTCTCAGGTAACATAATGTCTCCCTACAATGACATTTTCATATGGACAGCAAATAACAAATTCAAAATTTCCAATGATAGCATTATCTGATGATGATTTTACTCCATATAATGATCCAAAAAATATATGAGAAGGGTATTTTTGACATTATGTAATGTTTAATTGACGGAATACTAATGGATGGACTCAAATATCTATTTTTAAGAGTTTAGGGTACTAAAATGTCTCAATTGAAAGTCCAGGGTACTTATTTGTCACTATGCCAAAAGTATAGGGCACCTATCTGTCATTTACCCTATTATTATTTATTGGGTTTGACTATGATATGGAAAAGATATGATATCCAAAAAACATCTGATTAATCAACTGGAGTCATAAAGCGTAGTAGGGAATATTATTTATCAAAATTTATGAATGGGTTTTGATTGGTCAAAATTATTTTATATATATATATATATAATATTAATGAAATTCGGTTTTAATTAAAATAACCTAAAATCGAACAAAAAAAATCCCGTTTTGGTTATATCAGGCTTTTAATAATTCGGTTTGAGTTTGGTTTTTAAAATTTCGGAATGCTCACCCCTACTCATGCATGTGAGTATCATACTAAGGAGAAACTGTTAGGGTCGTACACCGATCTCTCCAACTTGCCACATAGGAACCAATATGGTTTGGGCCCACCCGATGTCTTAGGCCACATTATAAGCAACACGAAACACCACTATTATGCTTCTGTCTCAAATTGGGAAAGAAGATGACTTCCCCATTGGTTTTAATTAAAAAACTTAGGCAAATTTAAATGGGGAGAGTTAAGGGTATTTTGTGTAATTTTAAGAAATTTGGGGGTAAGTTGAAATTAATTTGTAAGAGCCAAATTACTTTTTAAGTGGGACCCACCTGGTATTTTCCTCTTGAAATTAAGTTAAAAGAACCAAATTATTTTTTGTTATAGTAATAATTTATTGTTACTTATTTATTAAATAAAAATAATAAATAAGTAAAATTAAAATTATAAATAATTATGGAAATTATTAATAAATACTAAATGTAAATTATTGATAACAAAATTCCCCAATAATTTTCCAATTTAATAATTCCAAAAAACAATGTAAATGAAAATATAAATAATTAATTATTAATTACCAAATTAACTTTCATAATCAATAATTTTCTGAAATTACCAAAAAAATACTGAAATTTTATAAAAATTAATTTTTTGAAAATTTCAAATTAAGCAATTTTCTGAAAATTATTGAAATTTATATGTAATAATTATAAATTTCAAATAATAATATTTAATTTATTTCATATAGTGATAATAATTGAATATTTAAATATTGAAAATATTTAGTAAATATCAAGAATTATTATTGTTTTCATTAATTATTTATTGGTCAATAATTATTCATATGAACAATTAATAATTCTTGAAATTGGTAATTATTACATATAAATTTCAATAATTATTTATGAATAATTAATTAGTGAAAATCTTAATATAAATTGATATTTTAATTATTCTAATAAAATAATTTTGTGAAAATGCTGAAATTTTCAAGTAATAACTGTCAATTTTAATTATTGAAAGTTTTCAGTAAATATTAGTAATTACTAATTATTAATATTTTCATTAATTATTTATTTTTCAATAATTATTGATATGAATAAATTAATTTTCAAAGTTATGCATTTATGAATAATTAATTACTGAAAATATACTAATTTTCAATAAATTGAAAATTTTCAAAATTAAAGTTTACTATATTAAACTACAAAAAAAAACATCAAAATTAATTTATGGAATTACAAAATTGAAATTTCCTAACAATTATCAAAAACCAACATAAATTACTATTAATTATCTAAATTTTTAATAATTACCAAATGTAAATTATCATTATTAAAATTCTCCAATAATGTTCAAATTTAATAATTACCTAAAGCCAATGTAAATTACCAAAATAATGGAAATCATTAAAATTTTCACTCTAAGTTAATAAATTAATAATTATTGATCATTACTAATTACCAAAATTACTTAACAATGCTTTTGCCAATAATTATTAAATAGTACATTAACATTATTGTATTACATAAATGTTACATCAACAATAATTTAATAATTATTTGTTAATTAGTATTATTTAATAGTAATTTAAGATTAATTAGTTAAAAGTAATTACATTAATTTTCCAATAATAATTTATTGACTTATTTTGGTAATTTATTCAAATTTCCAAAATAAGGTTGTATTTGGATTGGTAATTGGTTCCATGGGTTTTAGTCATATCTGGGATGGATCCAACCCAAGAACCCTTTCTTCTTAACTCGTTATCAGCTACAGTGTTTGCTTAAACACGTCGGTGAGTGTTGCTTAAAAAAGTCGATGATCAGTGAAGAGTAACTGGATTCCAGAAGGAAAACTGAATCGTCTACTCTATTTGCAACAACCAATATAGAATAGAATGAAAAAATGAAAAAAAAAAAAAAAAACTACCCGTAAACTGACGAGTGGTGAAGATTAACGTGTGATTAACATGAAACAAGCCTTACCTACTTTAACTGATGTAAGTAACGTCTCTTTAAGCCTTAAATGATACTAATCCTGAGGAAGAGGAAGTTTGTTTGGGAGAGGGAATTGGGAATTGGGTTAGACTATGATATGGAAAAGATATGATATACAAAAGGCAACTGACCAATAAAATGGAATCATAAGCGTGGTAGCAAATAACGTGTTATTTATCAAAATTCATGGATGGGTTTTGATTGGTCAAAACTCTTTTCATACCACATCTTTCCCGCATTATAGATTTTCCTATAATTTGGTAAATTATTTTGATTTATCATGGTTAACTGAATTTTCAAACCTAAAAATCAAGACCAGAATTTTTATTTTGGTTTTAACGGAGCAGTGTTCACCCCTATGCACAAGTTGTAATCCCGTTGTCCTCTGCTCTTTGGAGTCTCATTTGACCAATCAAGAGAAAAAAGCACTTATACCTGGTTCAAATTTTCATCTATTTGCTCGTAATTATGATTCACACTCTTATTTGATACAAAATTTGTACTTTTTTATTTTATTTGCACTCACTAGCAGTATAAATTTTACATCTCAAAAAATGATGCAAAATTTGCACCATCATCCTCCTATCTCAACTCTCTCTAGATAAAGTGRAGACCACATCATTTTGCTTCCCATCTCTCCCAAACATATAAGACTCCCCCTACCTCATTTCTTATAAGGTGGGATCACACCATTTTACATTTTTAGTTTTTACAAACAAACAAGACAAGGTCACTAACAGGGTAAATTTTACATCTAAAAAAGATAATGCAAAATTTGCACCACCTTCCACTTCATCTCTCTAAAGTAGTGAGTACATCATTTGCTTTCTATCACACTCCCAAATAAATAATTCTCCTCCTATACCTCTATTCTCTTGCATATAATACGGGACAAACAAAAGTAAATCAGAATTTATATTCGGCCCATTTGTGTTCCATTCATTACACCTCTGCAAATAAAATTTGCACTACAATCAAATGCAGCCAAAAGTAAACTCCAGTCTTTGGTAGAATATAAGACTGTCAATGACAATGAGTTAATGAGGAATGCTAGCGGTAAGCGGTAGCAAGCAGATTATTTGAACGGAATTTTATTCAGACTCAGAAGATTAGTTGAACCGAAATGAATGAAGTTTGTGATTCGTAATTACTTGTATTTGAGGAGTGGAGGGCCGCACAGACACGAATTATGTGCAAACTACTTTGCTTTCATATCCTGCACCGTCCCACCCAGCGGAATCTTTATATCCAAGTAAATATAAATTCCGTAGTTTGTTGACCTGCTTCGGAACGGAATTTTATTCTTTGTTTCAGCAGATTAGTTGAACCGAATTAAATGAAGTTTGTGATTCGTAATTACTTGCATTTGGGGAGTGGAGGGCCGCACAGACACGAATTATGTGCAAACAACTTTGCTTTCATATCCTTCACCCTCCCACCCAAAGGAATCTTTCCACACAAACGATTATAACTCACATCCAAGTATAATACAAATTCCGTAGTTCGGTGACCTGCTTCGGAATGCTCCCTCGAATTTTGTTGTGTGACAAATCCAGTTGCTTCAATGTCTTTGCCAATCTCAACTTAGACAGATCGAATTCCAATAAATTTCTTGACAGGTTTACCCAGACAACCGATCGTCGCGATCCGTTCTCCGTGAATATCATCGACCCATCTCCGACGAGTTTGTTATTGGAAAGATTAACAAACACGAAGTTGAATCTACTTAGTGACTTGGGGATTTTACCAGAAAGACGGTTGTATGAAAGATCCAAGACAGAGAAGTTGCTGCTGATTTTCCCAAACAAGTCCGGTATGCTTCCGTGAAGTTTATTGTGCTCGAGTTCAAGAGATCTCAGTGTGGTAATGCCACCGAGGGTTGCCGGAATTTCGCCTGAGAGCTCATTGTCGTGCAAATTGAGTCCTTCAAGGTTTTTGAGCTGGACTAGGAATTCTGGGATGGGCCCGGAGAGATTGGTGTATCTAATAGACAGCGATCTAAGGTTCTGAAGTTTGGTGAAGGAGGAAGGAATGGAGCCGGTGAGGTTATAGACCTGGGACATCTCTAGGGTATCGAGGTAAGTTAGGTCAGCGATGGCAGCCGGTATTTCGCAGGATATGGTGGTGTTGTAGATGTAAAGACCAATAACACGGTTGGTTTTGTAGTCGCAAAAGACGGATTTCCAGCTTTCTCAGCAGTCAGAGGTGGGATCCCAACTGGCAAAGTCCACATTGCTGCTGAAGGATTTCTTGATTGTGAGTAGGACGTTCTTGTCATGAGGGTTGCATCTGTGAGGGGCGGAGAGAAGATGAGATGAGAAGGAGAGTGATAAGAAGAAGAAATGGTGAAGGTGAAGTATAACTACTGCTACTGTAAAAGACCATTTCTTCTTACAACTTGTATTGAATATCAGCAAGTTACGTTGGAGGAAAAAAATATGGAGAGATGAGTCTCCATAGCTGAGGACTGTTGAATTTATAGGGATTGAGCCGTGGAATTCCTTGGGTTCTTCAGCCTGATTGATCTCCGATTAACAATCCTTGCAATCTATATATCTATATCTATATATATATATATTACTAAAAGGAGGTAATGTGCCAAGCTGGCACTTTCGTGGTTTCTTCTTGGAATTTATCTTTTTTTCTCCATTTTCTTATTTTTTATTTTGTTTTGTTTTAAAAATATATAAAAATAATCATTATATATTTTGATTAGATTCATAAAGTTGTACGTTATTATAGAAAGATTTTTGGGTTTTCCAAAGGTTCAAAGGTTTATGTAATTTTTATATTTAAAAATAACATTTAGAAGGTGAGAGAATAAAAATATAACATTATAAACTAAAGGTAAATTTCTTGAACTATCCTTTTGGTTTAATTAATTGATTAAGCATACTCTTATTGTTTGACTATTATCTAAAAGTATTCTTACTGTTTCTAACAATTGATTAGCTCTACCCTTAACATAAAAATACAATTTTACCCTTACCTCTTCTTCCTTTCAACAGGAACAAACCAAGCTAGTTCGGTCCTTAACCGGCGAAGTTACCCCCCTCCACCTCTGTTTCTCTCCTTCTTCCCCTTCGTTCTCTCTCCAGCCCAGGGCACAAGTTGTCGGAGTGATGGCAATACCACAGAGGACCGATAATCTCCTAGCAACGTGGCTCTTCGGTGACTGTCCAAGCAACGTCTAACTATCGGAGGTCTTTCTGGGTGAAGCTCTGATCAAATGCCACGCCCCTACCAGATTCGGTGGACGGGTTTCTGAAGATGGGAGAAATTCTTCAGGGGAAGCCGTCACTGTTGACGAAGGTTTCTAGCACCGATTTCGTCTAGTTGCTTTGGCAGAATGGCTTCTACAACCGATTCCGTCCAGCTACTTTGGCAGGATGGTTTCTAGCACTAAATCCACCGGCCCTTGGATTCTGATGTTGTCCCGTTCTCATCGAGCAATTTCCCTTGGATTCTTAGGCCCCAATGCAGTGTCTGTATCTTTGTTTCCAGATACAAGCACTGCATTCCTTTTAAAAACAGTTATCCGGCGATCCCTCTCCCTATCGGTGAAACCGGCTCTGCCACAATATCCCACATCTGCTACACCAAGTTCTTTTTTTTCTTCTTTCTTTAACCAATCTCTCTCTCTGTTGCGTACGTGGAATCATTCAACTAGAAAAAAAATGAAGTAGTAGTCAAATCCGTGCGGGAGCAAAACTAAAACAGAACCTGCAGCTGTCGCTGAACTCAATGCCAGCACTCAATGCTGGCAGTGGCGCCCGACAATGCTCTTCTTTTCCTTTAGACCCACCACCCATTTCATTGTCTTCGTTGCTCGAACTCGTTTTGTCTCCACTGAAAACCTGCAGCTATCGCAGAACAGTCCATGTCTACTCGGATCTTGTGGTGTAAAGTTTTATTTTGAAAGTTAAAAAAAAATGATGGGTAAAAGAGTTCTTTTAATTCTTCTATAGATATTAACGATAAGGAAGATTTAGTCAAAGTAAAAATATTTTAAAAGAATATTGAAACAGTAGGGATATAGTTAATCAATTTTCTAAACCTGAAGATAATTTAAGAAATTTGTCCTAAAGTAAAATATAAGCATAAAAATGTAAAATATTAATATAATAAGTCAAATAATAATGAATAGGTTAGGGTAAAATACAGAAATAAAAATATTAACTTAAAATTTCACTAAGCTTTCACTTAAATCGAGTTCTGTTTTCAACGAGACACACTTCCCATGAACAAATTCACATATAACTATTTTAAAACGGTCCCATTAAGACCTGTATGCTACATGGTTATGATTTTAACTGTGTATAATAATAATAATAATAATAATAATAATACTAATAAATTATAAAATGATAAAATAACTTAAATAATAGTAATAAATATATTAATAATAAAAATATTAATTCAAGTTCTAATAATAATAATTTATTTTAAATAATAAATTGACTTTGTTCTGGCCATTCTTACTATAGTTTATTTTAAATTTTGACAAAATGATTGATTATTTTTTTGTGATTCGCTAGTAAATAATTAAAAAGCAAAGCAATACGAGGTGATGACGGGACATTGGCTCTGATAAAATCACAAAGCACAGATTGCTGAGCTGCTGTGCTCTCGGGATCGCAAACCGTGAAAGAATAAATTAAATAAAGTTTGGAATTGATTTTCAATCCTTGTCGTGATTGAATGGATTCTGCTGTAAACCCATAGCTCCAAACTATCTTTTTATGGCTAGAAATTAAACAGTCTTCTTGTGAAGTCAAAGGAGAGCAAGAAATCACATTAAGGAGTATCCATCTTCAATTAATCAGAAGATAAGGAATTATAGTTAAATCTGATTGAAATTCCAGTTGGCAATAACCGGATCGGTTCAGACTTTTATTTTTAAACCCTCTATTCAAGGTGGAGGAGCCAGCCACCTTAATATTTTATTAAGATAAACACAACCAAAGACTAATAGAGGGGAGGCCATATCCCTCCTTGACCCAAAACCCGAAATACATGCAACTCTCTCTCAAACAAAACCCGATTTTCTATTCACATAGCGTTCCTCAAACTAGAGCTACAAATGGATGGAATCGAATTCAGTAACGGGTATATTCGATTAAAAATTTGATAAAATTTTCAAAGGATTAATTTGAATCTGATGAAGGGTGATTTGGCCCGATCTAATAAAAAGGAGATACATGGACATGATCTGACCAAGAGATGACAGCTCAGCCCGACATGTCTAGTTCACAACAGTTGAGCTCGGACTCCCAATCAGTTCGGCATTAAGTCACCTCGGGACAACGCCACTTCGGTCCCAAGGCACTTCGTCATTTAGTCCAGTTCGAAACTAAAAAGTATCAGCTCGGAGATACCGATCCAGATCACTATGTGGCAACCCCAAAAATCTCTCCAACAGACCTCGAACCTCGCGGGATCACGCCGCATAATGGCAAGCCTTATCTCCTCCTCGCCTGGTTCGGGAGGAATTGATAAGCCTTATCATTTAGTAACATTATCCTCTAATTAAAGTGGAAATGGATCCCATCGTGACGAAGATCCTGGAACCGATCCGCAAAACCCGCGAGGACTCAGCTATATAAAGGCTCCAACCCCGAGGGCATAAGGTACGCGTGATTTCTCTGCTCTCTAGCTCTCTACATTCTCAAAGCTATCTCAGCTCGCAACAGCCTACTAACTTAAGCATCGGAGCGACCTCGCTGGGCTAACCACCCCGGGTTCTCTTATCTTATTTTGCAGATCCACCTAGCTCGCCGTCCGACTAGAAGCCAGATCATCCTCCACTAGGGAGTAGTCAGATTGTGCTACATCAATTGGCGCTGTCTGTGGTAATCGCTACAAAAAGCCTTCTCCACACTCAACAACTCATCTGAGTTCAATGACATCCTCCAGTCATGCCGGACAGAGCGCTAAAATGAACATCTCTAGGGGGCAACCTCAACTTCTGTCTGTCTACATCGATCAGTTCACCATACCGCTCACTGTGGCTAGGGTTCCAACGCTGACCATGCCACAATCTTCTATGCAAGTAAACGCTCCACTCCCTCCTGTAGTTGGCGCAACCTTCGCTAAACCATATGTGGTTCCCCCGGAGTCAGGCAATCCCAGTTCGACGACCTGGTACACTGCGTGCGGGCCATTCAGGCYGAAATGCAACATGTCCAACAATTCCAGCAATACTAGCAACAAGTCTTCTACCAGTTCTACCAGCAGCAGGTCCCTCCACTACAGCAAAGCCAGCAGCCGGTTCCACCCCGCCGTCCAGCAATTCAGCAGAACTGGCCTCGTGTACAAAACACTCAATCTCCCTACCGAGGCGAGGAGACTTCCCAGGTTCCACTTCCTCTTGGGAGCCAAGTCTCACCTCGCGGCAGGAGAGATGGGCAGGTCACTCCGCCCGCTTCACAGGGCAACATCGGAAACCGGTCCGGAGACACTCAGCCCGCTAGGGCCATTCTTCCTCGGCGATCGCATCAAGAAGGTTCACTTGCAGGTAACTGGTTCGAGGTTTTGGCCGTGAACTCAAGGCAAGGCCCTTACATCCATGGCAGTCAGCCTCAACATACAGGGAACCAAGATCCACCTTGCGCCAGAATAGTACCGGACCACACAGAGGTTAGCAACACCAATGCGGAGACGACGAAGAAGCAGCAGCGCAGGCGTTGTAAGACGCACCAAACCTCAGCTTAGAACAGCCAGCTCGTAAGGCCCAATCAGTAGGAACAAGTAAAAGGTAAAGAGGAGGCAAGCTCAGCAGCCACAAAGACCACTCCTCTCCTCTCCGGGTCATCCCCTCTGTCTTCCGAGTTATTGGCAACCCCGATGCCCAAGGACTTCAAAATGCCTCTCCTCGACAAGTATGATGGATCTTTTGATCCTAATGACCATGTAGACTCATTTCAGTCCCAGATGCACCTAGCTGGGGCTGACGAGTCCTGCATGTGCGTGGCTTTCTTCACCACCTTTAAAGGAGTAGCTCACACATGGTACCGGAACCTCGCGCCAGGAACAATCAAGAGTTGGGCACAGTTCGTGGAGT